CTGGTGGTGGCGGTGATGTTGATAATATGGATGGAGATGATGACGATGATATGGATGATGTTACCGATGATGATGATGATGATGATGATGATGACGATGCTGATGGTGACGATGATGATGATTCCGGTGATGACGGTGAGATGCGGGTGACGATAGCGATGATGATGATGATGATGATGATGATGATGATGATGATGATGGTGACGATAAGGACGGCGATGACGAAAATGACGATGATGATGATGGTGATGGTGTTAATTGTACTGATGATGACGATGAATGTAGATGACGATGAAGACGACGTTGATGATGACGACGATGATAATGATTATGCTGATGACAATGGTGGTGACGATCATGGCGATTGTGATGATGACGATGGCGATTACGATGAAGATGGTGAATGGTGATGTCTACGGTGACGAAGATGACGCTGATGACGGTGACGATGATGATCATGATGATGACGATGATGATGGCGCTGATGACGATGATGATGATTATGATGATGACGATGACGATGACGAGTCTGGCGATGACGATGATGACGATGGCGATGACGATGGTGATGTCGATGATGACGATGTCGATGACAGGGGTGATGATGATGGCGATGACGATGATGATAATGCCGGTGATGGTGATGATGGCGATGCTGATGATGATGCCGGTGGCGATGATGATGGCGATGACGATCATGACGATGACGATGGCGATGGTGATGGTGACGATGGTGCGGATGACGATGACGAAGGGGGCGATGACGCCTACGATGGTGACGATGGTGGCTCCGGCTGGACTCGGGCGGCCTCGCGTTCTGCCAGATGGCATCGGAGGATGACGATGATGACGATAATGAGGGTCATGGCGATGATGGCGGTGACGATGGTGACGATGACGATGGCGCTGATGATGGTCATCACAGTGATGACGATCATGGAGATGTTAATTGTGACGATGATAGTAATGATGACGCCGAGGATGATCATAGTCATGATGGCGATGAGTGGTCGTGTCGACGATTGGTGAGGACGGTGCTAATGGTGATGGCGATGGTGATGTCGGTGATGCCGATGGCGATGACGATGATGACGATGATGACGATGATGGCGATGCTGGCGGGGATGACGGTGATGATGTTTGTGATGGCGATGACGATGAGTGGTGACCACATTGATGACGATAATGACCATGGTGACGATTCTGATGATGAAGACAATGGTGGCGATGATGATGATGATGCTGATGCTGATGATTGTGATGGTGGCGCAAATTTGGTGATGATGATGACGATGGTGGCAATGTTGACAGTGCTGACGGTGATGGAGATGATGATGGTAACGATGATGATGATTGATGGTGTTGACGGTGGCCATGTGTGTTGATGAGTGATGGTGATTATTCTGGCGATGTTGACGATGGTGACGGTGATGATGACGATGATTATGTCGATGAATTGGGATGACAATTAATGGTGGTGACGATGATGTCGTTGACGACGATGAATTATGATGCTGATGATGACGATGATGATGGCGATGACGATGACGTTAATGATGATGACGATGGCGATGGCGATCATGACGATGGTGCTGATCATGATGATTATGATGCTGTTGATAACGACAATGATGCTGTTGACGATGAAGACCGGTGGCAAAGATGGCGAGGATGACCACGATGACGACACTAATGGCGACGATGATGATGACGATGATGACGATGACTATGATAACGACGATGATTATGGTTACGATGATGATTATGATGATGAATGTGGTTGTGATGAAGATGAACGGTGGTGACGATAATGAGGATGATGACGATGCTAGGGACGATGATGGTGATGATAATGCTGGGGATGGTGCTAATAATGACGAGGACGGCGACAATGATGGAGGCGATGATGGTGATGGTGATGACGATGGCGACGGTGATGGTGATGATTACGATGATGGTGACGATTGCGATGATTCCGATGTTGACGATGATGGTGATCATGGGGATGACGATGATGGTCGTGATGATGACGATGACTGTGATGGCGGTGATGACGATGAATGCGGTGACGATGATGATGATGGTGCTGATGATGATGTTGATCACCGCGATGACGATGGTTCTTGATGATGGTAGTGGCAGTGGCGCTGATGATGTTGTTCAATCATCGTTGTGGTGTATGATGTTGGCGATGTTGATGATAGCGGTGTTGGTGATGATGATGATCATGGCGACGACGACGATGACGATGATGATGATAGTGAAGATGAAGAAAATGCTGATGATGGTGGGAATTGTGATAACGGCTTTGATGATGCTGACAATGGTTGTGACGATGACGGTGCTGTCGATGAGGATGAGGATAATGATGATGGCACTGAAAAGCGACGACGATGATGGGGATGATAATTTTGGCGATGATGATGATGATGGTGATGATGATGCCGACGGTGTTGATGATGGTGATGATGATGACGATGACGATGATGATTCTGTGATGATGCCGACGACGATAATTTCGATCAGTTGTGATGATGAGGATGATGGTCATGATTATGACGATGACGGCGATGTTCTTGATGATGATGGTGACGATGATGATGTTGGTGATGATGATGATGATGATGATGGTGATGGTGATAATGATGAGCATGATGATGGTGATGCTGGTAATTGTGGTGGTGGAGATGATGACGATGAGGATGAGGATGCTGATGATGATGAGGATGATGAGGATCATTGTAATGATGATGATGATTCTTCTGATGATGAGGATGCTGACGGGGATGACGACGATGACGATGACGACGATAACGACGACGTTGACGAGGATGATGATGACGACGATGATGACAGTGATGACGATGATGATGCCTCATAGTGATGCTGATGATGATGTTGCCGACCGTGAGGACGATGACGACGGTGATGATAATGACGATTGTGATGATGATGATGATGTTGATAATTGTGACGATGCTAATGATGACAGTGAATTATGATGACGATGTTGACGGTGACGACGATGAGCACGATGCATATGATGATGACGACGATGGTGATGATGATGCTGACGACGGTGATGATGATGACGATGACGGTGATGATGACGATGATGACGACGACGATGTTGATGATTCTGATGACGATGATGACGATGATGACGATGATAGGAATGATGCTAATGATGATCATCTTCAGGATTGTGATGCTGATGATGATATATAAGTAGTATGACGATGACGGTGATTGTGTTGTGGTCTTGACGGCGATGATGATGATGAGGATGAGGATGATGACGATGACGACGAGGATGACGATGATGACGATGATGACGATGATGACAATGACTGCGATGACGACGATGATGATGACGACGGCGACGAGGACGAAGACGATGACGCTGATTTTGATAATGATGCGAAGGATTCTGATCACGATGATGACGACGACGATGACGATGACGATGACGATGACGATTGCGACGACAACGGTGATGATGATGATGTCGATGATGGTGAGAAGGAGGAGGAAGAGGATGATGATCATGATGACGATGATGATGATGATGATGAGGAGGAGGAGGAGGAGGAGAAGGAGTAGGAGGAGGATGATGATGATGCTGATGGTGGTGGTGGTGGTGATGATGATGATGATGATGATGATGGTGATGGTGGTGTGATGGTGGTGGTGGTTTCATTGTAGTGGTGGTGCTGCTGATGATTGTGATGAACGATCACACTTCTAACAAGGACGAGGAGGAGCAGTAGCAGTAGCAGGAGGAGGAGGACGACCCGCGGGTCGGCGCGGCGCGGGAGGATCTGTGGCAGGGCGGGGGTCTGGGCCCGCTTTCGGGGAGCCCTCGGCCTCTCGTTGCAGGCAGCCCCGGGCTGCGCTCGCAGTCTGGCCGACCCGTCGCCGCAGCGAAGGCGCTCGGCCCGCCCGCCTCTTCCCCCCCGGACCTCCGACGCTCTGCCCCTCCTCCAATCCCGGCGTCTCCCTGGGAGCTCTGCCCTCGGGGGCCGTCGACGGGCCCCAGGACCATCAGGAAGGATCCTGGGGAAGTCGGCGCGGCTTTCCGAGTGCCCGAATTCCCAGAGGTTCAGCATTCCATCTAGGCGAACTCCTGGGAATTCGAGAGTTCGGGGCGATGTGGCGGGGAAGAAGAGGTGGGGACCCCTGGGGCCGCGCACTGGAGAAGCACATCGTCGGATGTCTGGGCCGAGCGCTCGCCACGGCCAGGCTTCACCCCGGCGCTCTCCGCAGCAGAGGCGATGGCGCTGGCAGAGAGGCGGTACACAACGCCAGGGATGACGAAGGCGATGTGAGAAGAACAGGCAGGCGCTAGAAGCAAAGGTGCATGACGAAACAGCAGCACAATGCGTACGTCAAGCAACGGCACATCAAACACATGTGAGATCGAGCTCGCAAGCCCAAAGCAAGCAGCAAATGAAGCATGGTTCCACGAATGTGAAGGGAAGACTTGCAAGCAACAGCTCTTAACGTCACACCTGCTTCACAAACGAGCGCCGTCCATATGATTCAAACAGAGGGTGCGCACATAAGCGTAATACATCTAAGGCAGTCGCACCAGCAGTATCTCAATAATATTAACATAACTTCGAAAACAGCTCACACGCGCGAAGGCGAATGAGTAACAGCAAGCCCGAGGGCGAAATCAGCTGGCTCAATTTCCGTTCCCCTTGCCACCCTTCCTCTTGCGCGGCTTACCTCACCTTGTGCGCCGACGAAGCTCTGCCATCGCATGGCACGCGCGATCGTTGTCGCGTCGTCGGGGTCCTGGAATAGCTGTCTGTGCTGCCAGTTGCAGCTGCCACGGCGGCCTCGCCGCCAGGCGCCGCCGCTGGCCTCGCCGCGGCCCCGCCGCCGGGCGTCGCTGCCGCCGCCGATCCCGCCGCGGCTGCGGCGCCAGCCTCTTGTGTTGCGGAGCACTGTCCTGGCCAGGGCGCCGCCTGCGGAGCGCCCGGCGCCGCCGCCAGAGGGCCGGCCGCCCTTGTCGCCGACGGGCCGCTCGCGAAGGCGCTGGAGGCCGCCGCAGCCCCACCACCGGGCGCGGGGCACGGGGCAGCCGCGGCAGCGGTAGGGCCGGCTGTGGTGGCGCCGGTGGACCCCGCCAGGGCCACAGCGGCCGCGCGGAGGTCGGCCACTGCTCGGACAGCGCCGTGCTGCTCTGGCCCTGGGCCCGCCCCCGTCGCAGGGGCCGCCGCGGCCGCGCGCAGGTCGGCCGCTCCCGGAGCAGCTGCCCAGCCGCCGTCCCGCTCCGCGGGCGAAGATGCGTCGTGCTGCTCCAGCCTCGCGCCTGCCGCGGGGAGCGGCGCGGGCGCCGCGTGCGAGGAGGACTCCCTGCGAGCGTGGGCGCAGCTGCTGGAGGTCACCAGCTGCCGCGCAAGAGTGGCCCTTCGCCAGAGTGGCCTCTGGTGCGCGGCTTTCGGGGTGCGCGGGGCGGCCACACCCAAGCA